TCGTCCTTTCCCATCCCACACGGTGGGTTAACGGCGTTCACGTATGGTATGTGGCTACCTCACAGCCGTGTAACCGCGAGCTAGATTCAATTATAGTACGGATTCCCGTAGATGCGCGGACCTTGGCAACACCTGTCTCACATCAGCTCCCATTTTTTTAGATATCCGCGGTCTGAGGCCCGTTTCGGAGCACCGCGGAACACTGGAATACATTCCTTCGACTGAGGTCCCTTTTTTCTCTTACTCGCCGTATCTGATCCGTGTTCCGGTGCTGGCTGCATCATTCCGTGAGATGTTATCCACGGTAACTGATACTTCCATGCTGAAGCTCTAGATCAGATGTGTCGCGTCCAACAACTAGTTCGCATCAGTAACGTTGACGGTGGTTGCCGTTTGGAATGGCCACCGCCGACCAACTAGATGGACCGTGTGCTCCATCTACATCACACTGCAGTCCGGCTGGACACCTAACCTAGGGTCTAATTCACCCTAACTGACCTGCACTCTAGACCAAAATCTGAGGCAACGGGCACCCCTTGACACAACTTTATTGATTAAATAATATATGTAGCCCACTTCGCAGCAACCCCTGCTATCTATCTTCTTCCTGTATTCAACTCGCTTGTGTCTCACTCACTGGCACCCCAGAGCACACTCGCCTCACGTCAACACAGCTGAATTATGTCTGCACTGTTTGAACCTCGTGTATCCCCATCATTGTTCTGCTTTGGGGGGACATGTTATTTACTGAACGATCATATGAATGTTTGTCAGCCCATTTCACGTACGATAAGTACCGCATTCAGGTAGGGACTAGATCATGGTCCTGTCTATCAGTAATCAGAGCCCGTTTTGTATACTCTCCCTTTGGTGCCTTAGGTGACATATCTTGGTAGCTGGCGACGGTACCATGCCCTGATCTCCCTGGAGACAACCCACGATGGATATGAACTTCTTTCAGCGCGAAGATTATTTTATTGTCTACCCATGATTCCACACGAGGTGCCGATACACTGTCCTCGAGTATAATGGAGAACATACCTTTCTGACGACAGCATCCGCAGGGCTCAAGCACATTCCAGCACCGTCAAAGATACCCCTTACCAACTGTACAGAAGTTGCAGCTCGGCATATGGAAGGAATATATGAAGGTGCTCTGAATGGCCCAGATTGGATGAGATGCACATTCAAATGCCCCGTGCCGCTCGTCACCGACCTTTGGTCGCTCCTCGCGGCACGGGATCGGTGACGAGCGGCAGTGCACTTCGAGCGGAGGAGAGCGATATCTGGGAATTGTAACTGATGTGGTGAAGTTTAACAGAGCGAGGGCGGCGGGGAGATCCATTGTAAATACATTCAACTAGGGGCCGGGGGAAAAAAAGTAGATGAACGGCAGATCAAATGCTCAGGATGAGACGTATCTTGAATTCAATATGTGAGAGGCTAGAATTATATTGAGTTCACACGAACTTTGGACAAATGGTATCTTGCATAATTGGGGCTGATCTGGATGCAAACGGACCTAGCACCCGGCTCGTTGAAGGCCAATTCCGCAACCTGAGTGATGGGGAAAATATCCTCGAGACAGGGCACTGTCTCGCCGACAGTCACAATAATTTCAGACACCGCGGTGGGCACGGCACAGTCGAAAACCCATTTTTTGATGCTGTTTCGGGGCAGGATGGGAGGGAGCCGGTTTTTTTGGATGATCTCATCAGCGTCCGCAATGGTCAGATCAGCGAAGTACTCAGCAGAGTACCGAGTGCTGTGGTGTGGATTCGTGTATTCTGAGAAGGACATGCTGGCAGCGAGGATGAGACAACAAAGCGCGCAAGAGTTCTAGATAATAGCGACTCAGTCCTCGGGCACTGCAACCGTGATAAGAGGTTTAATATGTTTACCCAGATAATAGCAACGAGGTACAGATCAATAATGGGAAAAGAAGTGAGTAAGAGAGTCGACTCACCTCAGTCTTCGTGCACAACCGTGATACGAAGTCTGAGGAGAGATGACTCGAGTGCAGGAATATATACTAAGTGCGAGTGCCTGAATGTAACTAAACAGATAAGTACAAGTACCTTAACATGACCAAAAAGGAATTTTTGAAAGCATTACAAAACCGAGAGTTACCCGCTATCCCTGCGGACTACAATTCCGCCAGCCCTGCAGGCAACCAATTACACCGCCGTGCGGCGGGCAAGGTACCGAGTATGCAGTCTGTCAGCGTTATCTAGCCGAGAGATGTGTCACGTGGGGTTGCTAAATAGCGATCGGTTATATGGCAACCCCCGTTGCTCTGGCACGGGGGTTACCAAATAGATTCATCCGAAAACTACGCCACCGTGAAACGTGTCTTAGCAAAAGATGGCAGTGCAGCCGCGCTCCAGGGATATGAATGCTGACAAGTCCGGCCCTACCGATGACTCTCCTGTGCTCAATGACGCTCATGCCGCCAATCCCCTACCTGTCCTTCACTGATCACCAGGCTTGGAACGGGACCGCTCCCCCGCCTGGTCCATCTCTTATCGGGGTCGTGGACGAGTACGGTGTCCGATTTTTTGGAGGAGTGTCCCCCAACTTCTAACCCTCACTATAAAGGGATTCACCGGCTAACCCATGGTTCCCGCTGTCTATCCCACGACGATCCTAACCCCCCGAATTTGATCCGATTATTGGTGGCCAATCAGCCAGTGGGCGCGGCGACGATCTTGCGCGACCCGGGGATCATTATCTCGGAAGATCCCATACTCCTGTGCGCGGCAGCGTCGCGCCAATTCGCTCCCCCACTCGAGTTGTTAGCTGCTATCGTGCAGGTCTCCCCTGATCTCCGAGGGTCGACGATCACCGTCGCCGACCGTTTATATTGTAATGTACGTAGCGGTTGTCGTTGGCGATGAAAAGGAACTCGATGACCCCATGGCGGAGAGTATCTCCGAGTCGGAGGCACAGACGATCATCGATATGAATGCGCTGGCGAGAGAATGGCGGATATCATTGGCTAATGCGATCCGGGTAAGTGCGCACTGCATTGTAGCTTTGATCGCTGACGTCGAACACAGGGTCGATCCTCCGGGCCGGCGCTCCGCTGTCACAAGGCATTGCACCCGATCATCGCGGGCTTTGATACGCCCACTTTGTCCCCTGCACTCCGCACATATGTTACTATGTATATAGATGGGCGTATTCGGTGGATGACAGTAAGATGGCCTGTTATCTACTCCCCTTCCTCTCCGCTTGTCTCCTCGCGCACGCAGCTTCGCTCCCACCACACTACACGTCCATCTCCCGTGACGTGGTCGTCATTGGCGGCGGCTCGTCGGGGACGTATGCGGCCGTGAATCTCCTTGCCCGCGGGCGGTCGGTTGCTGTCCTCGAGCAGCAGGGTCGACTGGGCGGCCACGTCGAGACATACCATGACCCGGCCACCGGCGCGCCGTTCAACCTCGGCGTCATTGTCTACTACAACAACACCGTCAACAACGCCTACTTCTCACTACTCGGCGTACCGACGGCGCCCATGCAGTCGGCAACGACGAACAACGTGTACCTCGACCTGGCCACGGGCAAGACGGTGCCCGGCTTCGACCCTCTGGCCCAGATCGATTCGTTTCTCCCCGCACTGCTGGCCTATGCCGCGTACGTCAACACGACGTACCCATATCTCACGCTTTCGTACGAGAACCTCCCACACCCCCTGCCGGAAGAGCTGCTGCAGCCGTTTACGGTTTTTGCGGCACGGCACAACTTCACCCCCATGCTCCAGTTCTTCGACAGCCTTGCGCAGAACATCGGCAACCTGTGGCAGCTGCCGACGTACCAGGCCATCCACGCTTTAGACCCAAAGCTCGTCGCAGCTGCCCTTGGGGGCTTCATCAACGCTGCCTCGGGCGACAACCAGGACATTTACTCGGCCGCCGCCGCATACCTCGGCGCGGAGAACGTCTTCCTCAACAGCACCGTCCTCGACGTTGACCGCTCGGGCAGATGTTTTGGGCTGGAAGAAGAAGAAGAAAAAAAAAAAGGTGACGCCCGCGGCGTCTGCATACTCCGTAAATCCTCGGCGTTGTCGGGGAATGAGACCACACTCATAAAGGCCCGCAAGCTGCTCGTCGCCATCCCACCCTCGCTCGCCTCGTTAGCTTCGGCACACATGGACCTCGACGCGCATGAGCACGCCGTCTTCTCCAAGCTGCACGGCCTCACGTACGGCGTCACCGTCTTCACGCACCCGGGGCTCAAGACGAACACCACATATAACAACATCGGCACGCACACCCCGGACAACCTGCTCTCCCTCCCGGGCGCCTTCGTGTATTCGCCACTGCCCGAGGGGCGCTTTTCCGCGTACTTCGGTGCGCTCGAGGAAAGCGGTTGGACTGACGTCGACGTAGAGGCCCTCATCCGCGGCGAGATTGCCCGCATGATCGCGCACGGCAATGCCGCGGGCGACCCTGCCGATGTGACGTTTAATTTTCTGAAGATTCACGCACCGTTCCGCCTCGCCCCGGCACGGCACGATGTCGCAAATGGCTTCTACAAGGAGCTGTATGCGCTCGAGGGCCGGCGCAACACATTTTGGACGAGCGCCGCCTGGACCGAGGAGGATAGCTCGCAGATCTGGTTGTGGAGCGAACTTTCGCTGCTGCCCAAGATGGAGGCGGCGCTGTGCTAGCAGGAAGAGAGCCGTTTTGTATATATGCCAAAAATGAATGCTGCCTTTTCTTTTCTTCGAGAGCCACCGTGCGTCGTTCAGATTGAGGATGTAATGTGAGCGCTACGCTGCAATCTTGCGGCTCCACCAGCCTCCCGACCGGAAGAAACGTTTATGTAAACAGAGCGGGTCCAGATCCTGGGCTGCTGATAAATACCGCAGGCGTGGTCTCAGGGACAGCCTGGCATCAATATTCGACAGACCGTCCTAGTGAGATTTTCCGATGAGCTATCGTCTCGGACAGTCCGTGCTGTATCTGCGAGTCCAAAAAGATTTTGGCAAAACCCCATGTCTTCGGGCGGAGTCGAACCACCGTCTCTCCCGATGGCTTGTTACCTACCTCTATACCCTACCAGCCGGCAGTAGGGTTCACTCCCCCACGAAGACTCTCTATCTTATCTAGCTCACAGTACCTCGACTCGTGTTGAGCCATAGTATCTGACACCTCTCGTGCCAATTAGATGACGGGGAATCCAAAACAAGGGCCACAGCTCGGCTATACGCGACGTCTGTTTGGCGCGATCGGATGAGTGCTGCCGCTCGTACGTGTTTCGGTGGGATCTATAAAGCGCGGACAAGCGGTTCGCGGCACGCCAGCGCTTGTGTTTGGGTGGGATTTATAAAAAATTCTTAATAAAACGGAAGGTTCACTGCGCGCCGGCGTGCATCGGCGATCGCTGGGATATTGGGACTGAACAGTGGCAGTGGCAGTGGCAGTGATTAAAACACTGCGTTCAGCGCCCCGATAGCCGAGGCCACGTAGGGCGTCTGCCACGTCTGGCTACGCCCGCCGATCCCTAGCGCGAAGCTTCTGTTGGAATGATGGTTGCTGTGCGAGCATCGGAGCTCGGTAACCGTGGGCATCGGGATGTGTAAGCTGTCGGGATTACTGATGCATCCCCGAAAGGATTACTCAGCAGGTTGAATAGTATCAAAGCAGCTACTAAAGTGTACCTACCTTAGCCACTTTTAACCCACCTGTCCTATTCTACTCTAGGGCAATGACCCAATTTCTACAGCTTCGGCTACCTTCGTCATTTCGCTTAGCCACAGCCCGTTGTGTAGTGCCGGGTTTAAAATGATGTATTTAAACGTTGTATTATACAAAGGCGTATTAAACATGTGTAATGCATTTCATACCGCAAGGCTCCGGGATGCCATGTATTTAATGTGTATTTAATTCCAAAAAGACTCCAACCGGAGCGCCTGACCTTCCCAGAGCAAACGGGACTCGCCGCAAACACATTCGGCCGATATTCTGACCGTCGGAGCCCTTCGGGCCTCAACGCTCGGAGACAGCTCCCGTCGGCTAAAGACGACCATGTGAGGCTAATTAGCACGAGATTTTTGAAAATTTCCACCTCATCACACGCCGGAGGCGCAGGGATGGACAGCATACTGGAGTACCTCATCGACGGTTCTGCACCCGATGTCGTTATGACAGACGGGTCAGCCCAGCCGTCACTGTCAAATGCCACGTTGAACACCGACAAGGCAGACCGAGCGCGCGAGCGTGCCGAACGGAAGGCCAACGGGAATCAACACGGGAAGGAAAAGAAGGGACTCGGACGTACCTTTGATCCCGTCATGGCGTCAGCTAGCAACCACCATCTGCTTGCGCTCCAAGCAATATCGGAGTAGCACACCCCACCGTGGTAGATAAATAGGTAAGTAGGTAGCATTACACGGCACGGTCCCCTGAGCAACGCCGGTTTCCAGGGATTATCTAATGTACAGGCGCCGAAATACATTATTGCCCCTGGACCTCTAATAGCGCCAGCAAGGTGACGGCTAAGTGTTCGGCTAGGCTACTGCGAGCCTTCGGATAGCCTCCGGCTATGTAGGTGGCGCGGAGCTCTGCCGTGGGGGGGGCTTGAACGCAGTGAAACAAGGCTACCCGAGATCTACTCATCGTTGATGCTATCGCCGGCCTCGCTTTAACCATGCGGCCGCTCCGCTTCTCTCCTCACATGCATTACCAAGGGCTCTGTGCTGCCAGTGACGACAGCGGATCTTCGGACGCTACGTCTCACGGAGAATGCAGCTGCTGCCGCTGGATATCGCGCACTCTGCGCAACTCTGCGCCACGATCAAGGCTCCCCGGCCCTCAAAACACGTCTCCCTCCACGAAACCGCCCACCATGCCTCCCGCTTCACTTTCCACGCGCCGAGCGCCACCGCCTGTTGTCGACACTCTCCACTGCGCCGCAATAAGGCGCAATCTCTGTCACCGTTCACGCGTGCACTCCCCACCTTCCTCTAAACGCCCTCCGTCCTCATCTCTACGTTCTCCCATCCTCCCCCCCCGTGCTCTTCCCCCATGATCCCACCGCCGGTCATGCACACCCACATCGCGCGCGTTAACTTGCCTCCCGTGTACCTCCACCATGCGCTCAGCGCTCTGCTCGTCGGCGCCGCGCTCCAGCGCGCTATCTTGGTGATATCCTCCCTCCTTGTCCCTCCACGCGAATGACCAGAATCTGCCACTCCTTCTCGACTTCGCGTTTGGCGCACCGCGAGCTGCCCTGTCCGCGTGCGGCGAGTTGCGATCCTGCATCCGGGTGCAGCAATTCAAACAGATGCGCATCCCGACCGCTCAAGGGCCGAGCCAAAGTAACGCCGTCCTCGGAGCCTGCGCCTTTCGTACCCTACTCGGTTGTTTGCTCTGAAATTACGACCATTCGCTTCCAGATGAAATGGAACGATGGGTGCGCATCGTCTCTTCTCCCCATTTTCTCTCCACCCGCCATGTGGAATCCGCGATCTGGAACTCACCACCGTCCCTTCTCCCACCGTTCGACTGTGTGCGGTATTGAACTCCTCTCGCTACTGTATTGCTCTCGCTCTGATCTGTATCTGCGCCCGGTTCTTGTTGATTATTCCCGGGTTTCACTACCCCACGAAGACCTGATATGCAACAGGATCCCTAGTATGTTCTAAACAAGCGTCCACTGACAACAACCTCTTCCGCCACGTAACTTAGCTCTGGGCTCATGACTCGCACGGAGTGTCGCGGCACGCCAGCGGCGAGAGGAATATCTGGTCTTACCCCACACGAATTCTCGTTAACATTCCCCCGTCTGCGGACTATTATCTGCGGGGCCCAAAAACGTTGCGGACCGTCAATGTCATCAGGTGGATTTGAACCACAGTTCTCCCTGATTCACGTTATTTCGACGAACAGCTGGGAGCGGGCTTCATTACCCTACGAAGACTTAGCAGGGCTCTCGCACGCTCATTGAACTCGCAATCTCACTAGACTGGGTAGCCTCGATCCTTGAACCCACTTCTCTAGCGACAGCGCTTCCTCACTTCGCAAAGCAACTCCTGCTGGAATAAACCGCAATAATGCTTGGTGATAATTACCCCTGGGGGCGTCGTCGTTCCTTCATCTGCAAGGGGAGAAAGACAACAGTGGTCCATGTCCTCGGGTGGATTCGAACCACCGGCTCCCCCAGGTTGAAGATGTAACCGCATTCTTGAATGGCTGGAAGCGGACTTCATTACCCCATGAAGATTTGACATCTATAGAGCTCGCTCTGCTGGAGCACTCCGAGCCATCTCTCGCTCCTTTTCTTCAGAATCTTTAGCCGATGATAGACAGTACGGAATGTGGTCTACAACTCAGGGACGCGCTACGCCTCTGGGGAACATATAGCCGATGCTGGACGCCATTGAGGCCCTGCGGAGCAAGAATCCAGCGTCTTCGGGTGGATTCGAATCACCGTGTCTACCGGTAAGCGTGCCGTGGTTTCATCACCCCAAGAAGGCTGTCTATCTTGCCCTGAACTCTAAATACACATCTCTTGGGCGACCAATGGCCATTCATCTCGCAGTACAACTCGTCCATTTCTAAACCACGATCCCAGATCTTTCTTGGTGATAATTATTGCGGCTTCGTCGCGAAGAGGCCCCCGGCGTGGTCGTCTTATCGGCGGCCCGGGGGGCAAAACTCATGTTCAATCTCCTCGGGTGCATTCGAATCGCCGTCTCTCCGTTCAAGTGTTTCGTGGCGCTCAACTGCATTCGAGCGAGCATCCTTGCTCCACGAAGAAGTCATTATCTGCAATTCATCTCGCTGGAATAAACGAATCTCACGATTGATAGTTACTGGGACCCAACAACCCCGACGAAATAAAGATGTTCTCGGCTGGTTCACATGGGGCAATCTCTCGATCTTGTTTCTCGCTTGGGAGAGAGTTGCGGTTTCGCTCAAACCTTTCTTGGTGATACAGAGCCGACAGGCCTCTCCCGTGACAAAAACGAGTCGTCTCGTCTATGTCCTCAGGTGGACTCGAACCACCGTCTCTCCGCTGAAGACAATTCTCTTAGGCTAATCGCGCCGGAGCGAGCTTCATTCCTCCAAGAAGACGTTGGTATCTGTATGAATCGTAGGTTCTCATCGCCAGTGGATTGTCGGAAGAACTGAAGAATTAAATTACTTAATCCGGTGCACACTGTCATCCCATTGCGGGTTCATACAGTTGCACTACACGTGGTTCACCATTTGCCCTGCGCTTCCGCCCTGGCCTACGCCGAGTCACAGTTCAGAACCTGTGAGAATTTAGGGCGGCGTCGGAGATCTCCGGGTCGCCAAACAGAGACACCCCGCGATGTGCCGGATTGATGATGACATCACACGCTCCGCTTTGTCGCTCTCCGCCTCGAGTCCTAAGTAACACCATGCTGTTCCAATTGTGGGACCGTGTCAGTATAGTATACCTCCTCCTCCTCTTCCATGCCGCTGATTCACCGGCCCGACGAATTCCGCCAACGCTTAAGTAGTGATGGCCGGGTCGGGTCGGGTCTTGAAAGCCCAGGCTTGGGTCGGGTCTTGGCGGGCTTGGGCTTCGAAAAATCCTGAGCCCGACCCGACTTAGGGGGTCGGGCCCAGGTCGGGTCGGGCTTGGGCTCAGGCCCGGGCTTGGCTGCATTTTTTCCAACTGATTTATGGTGGGTTTTCAAACTCCTTCAGCGTTATACAACGGGTTTCTCACCCGACGGGACCCCTCACAGACTGTAGAATTTCCAAAATTGCTGTCCTGGCGAGCCAGTTGAAGCACAAGTCTGAATGCGGCATTCCCATCAAATGTCGAGATGTTATGTTTCATGGTTGAACATAGACAAGTAAGTCTCTTTCAAGTAGAAATCAGATTTAACGTGAGATTTAAAGCAAGGATGGTTCAGCAAAAGTGGAATTCCTTTGAAGAATTTGAACTCGGCCTAACTCAAAGAGACCCGGGCCCAAGCCCGGGTCGCGGGTCTGCTCAGAAGTTGAGCCCGACCCTGAGCCCGACTTGAGCCCTACCTCGGGTCGGGCCTGGGTCGGGCTTGAAAGCCCGACCCAAGCCCGGGCTTGGGCTTGAAGCCCGACCCAGCCATCACGA